TTGGGCAGCTCACAGTTGCCTGGAGCTCTGACTTTAGGGGATCCAGTGTGCTTCTCCGCCTCTGTGGACGCCTGCACATACATGCATGTGTCCATCGCCACAGATTGCAAATAAATAAAAACAAATAAAAAATCTTAATATCAAGTATTCAATACAATATAACCCAGAAATGTGCTGAGGGTGGAATATTATTAGATAATACTCAGGGAGTATTCCATCTCCTGATGATTTTATGTATCAGGACAGGGGCTGACCCTTGCTCCCCTCCTCTTGAGTTCACATAAAACAGTGTGTCGGTGGGACAAACAGACAGACAGACAGACAGACAGACAGACCTACACCTGACTCTGCACTTGACACAAACTGCTCTTCACTTGGAGTGTGGCGTCATCTCACGCTACAGAGCCTGCTTCCTGGGCTGGACTGGGTCCCAAACTGTCTTTGAGCAGTGACTCACCAGGCTGACTCATTTCGATATAGACAGAACTGTGGGTCTGCGTTCTTTAGAGCAAACAAGATCACTTTGTACACAGGGGAATGAACCCCGGGAAGATGGTAGCCCACGGTCGTCCGTGGAGCCGTAGGTCATACCGGCAATGCTGTGTTATAGGTCACGGTTTGAGAATTAAGGTCTTGATGTGTCTTGTGCCACCCCCTCCTGTGCTGTGCTCACTGCGCAGTACTGGCACCCCCACCCCCATCTTCGCTGCCCAGAGCAGGTGCGTGTGACAGAGGACTTGGGGATCTCAGCCTGTCTTAGGTGGAAATCAGCCCAGATAACTGGCTCCCACTCCATCTATTCACTTACCTTGGCATGCGTGGTGTGTGTGTGTGTGTATGCCCACTTATTTACATGTGTGTGGGACCATGTTCATTTGTATGTGTGTACATGTAGAGCTCTGGAGTTGACATAGGGTGTCTTCCTTGACCTTAGTTTTTTGCAGCGGGGTCTCTCATTCAGTGTGGAGCTCATTGACTCAGTGTTTGCACAGGGAATCCTCCATCTCTCCCTCCTGAGTGCAGAGGAGCCTTCATGTCTGCCTGGCTTTTAATGTGGGTGCTGGCACCCAAACTCTGGTCTTCATGCTTTTGTGGCAAGTGCCTTATCCACTGAACCCTCTCTCTAGTTTCTCAGTTGCCGAGGCTGACCCAGACTGGGGTTTATATGGTTGTTGAGGCTGACCCAGACTGAGGTTTATATGGTTGCCGAGGCTGACCCAGACTGGGGTTTATATGGTTGCCGAGGCTGACCCAGACTGGGGTTTATATGGTTGCCGAGGCTGACCCAGACTGGGGTTTATATGGTTGCCGAGGCTGACCCAGACTGGGGTTTATATGGTTGCCGAGGCTGACCCAGACTGGGGTTTATATGGTTGCCGAGGCTGACCCAGACTGGGGTTTATATGGTTGCCGAGGCTGACCCAGACTGGGGTTTATATGGTTGCCGAGGCTGACCCAGACTGGGGTTTATATGGTTGCCGAGGCTGACCCAGACTGGGGTTTATATGGTTGCCGAGGCTGACCCAGACTGGGGTTTATATGGTTGCCGAGGCTGACCCAGACTGGGGTTTATATGGTTGCCGAGGCTGACCCAGACTGGGGTTTATATGGTTGCCGAGGCTGACCCAGACTGGGGTTTATATGGTTGCCGAGGCTGACCCAGACTGGGGTTTATATGGTTGCCGAGGCTGACCCAGACTGGGGTCCACTGGCACTGTCCCCCTATCCCTGTGCCTCCTCCTCTGCACCCATGGGTTAGTGTTTTTGCTGGGGTGTCTTCCAAGTGTGTCGGGAGTGTGAGAAGCTGAGGTTGGCCTGGGCAGAGGACCTGTTGTATGTTCAAAGTTCCTCCTTTGAACCACCCCGTAGAAGAATGCTGCCTTGGACCTCATGCACACCCCCGGGATTTCAGAGTGCTTGCGTTAGACGAGGGAGAGACACATTAATATGCCCAGGGCCCAGAATTCAATGCATCCCCTGGTGTCAGTATCAGAGCTATCAAACTCTGGGTAATTCTCAGTTGATAAGATTTGTTCCCAGCTGCAGGGTGAGGCTCTCTCTCAGTATGTTTTTCCCAGTGTGAGCCCAGCCTCCTACCACTCAGCCCAGTTAGCATTCGGTCCTCCTGCCTTCCACAGCTGTCTCTCCCCCCAGGAGCCACGGCAGGCCAAGTTGATGCTCTTGGACCCATGGGTTATCTTAAATAGTAAAGATTCTTTCCAGAGTCAGCAGAGAGAAGAGCTAAGACGGATTGCAAGTGGAATACCTCTCAGTAATACCACTGGGTAATCTGGGACAGGAGATGCAGCAGCAGCCCACAGAGCGCGGGGCATCCCATAATTTTATAGGCTTGAGAAGGGAGGGGGGGTCTCTGAGTTTAGGGTTTGGTGAAGGTACCAGATAGGATATAAGGCAGAAACTCAGGAGTTAATCCTATCGCTCTACCCTACCTTGGGCAGCTACAGGATAGGAACTGAGTGGCGTAAGGAAGGTACCAGTAGTACACAGGCTGATTCCTCTCCCAGGATGGGGGTGGAGGCGGGAGAGGGGGTTGCTTTGTTCTCTATCAGATTCTCTCTGAGGATGGTGAGGCCAACTGGGATTTCTTTCTACCACTGGTTCATAGGCGACATGAATCACTGTCTGCACTGGACACTGCTAAGCTGGTAGCTGGATCGAAGGCTAGTGAGGGCTGTGGGCATGCCCAGTTCTCTGGCAGCTTGCTTTTAGAAGTGACTTGTCGCCCCCTCCTCTCCGTCCCCGCTGAGGATGGCACGGCCGAGGCTGTGTTCCACTCACTGCTACTCTTTTTTTTTTTTTTTTTGCCAGCTCTTTCCTGATATCACTTCCTGTGACTTTCGGAAGCTCTTCTTCTATTTCTCTGTTTGGGATAAAGTCTCTTCTCTCTTATTCTGGCTCTCGTTCTTCCTCTAGTCAGCTGTCTTACCTAGAGGACTTATTACTTCTTTCATTTATTTATTCAGGGTCAAGTGTCCACCCTGGGTCTCAGTGTAATGTCCTTTCATCCCTTTGTCACAGTGGGGATGAAGGATTCTCCGGCAATCCTGCCATCCCACCACTGTCCAGAAGGTGGCAGCACACAGGCCCAGGTGCTTCGAATGGAATCTGGCAAGAGTTAGGGTGGGAAGCAGCTGAGGGTCATCAGAAAAGAAGATCTGCCCTGCTTTCTGGAAAGATCTCATTGCACATCAGCCAAGCGGGCCACAGACGCCCGAGCCTGCCCAAAAGCTGTGCTGTTCACTGCCTGCACCGGCGAATTGGAAATCCATTGGTTAAAAGTGATGGTTGGCACTGGCCTAAAACTAGGATGCGGGGAGGTGGCTCAGGTTAGGAGCACCAGCTACTCTTCCAGAGGACCCTGGTTCAACTCCCAGCAGCTCCAGCTACAGGGGAATCTGATGCCCTCTCCTGGCCTCTGTGGCACCAGGCACCACTTCTCACCTCAATGTCCCTAGTCTTGCTGTGGACTGAGCTGCCCCACCCCTCAGAGCAGGACACACGTACTCATTAGAGAGGTGGGAGGGGTCGTAGCACCAGCTCCTGGCCTTGCTGGTCAGGACTGCTGGAGAGAGACTTGGATCAGCTCAGGCTGTGTCTGGGGTCTGATCCGCAGCAGTCTATGGCGACACCTGCAGGCACAATGCTACATAATCACTGTGTGTCGCCGGGAGTGTCCCTGGACGCTGGGCGCCCTCCCTGGGGGACACCTGCTGCAGTGAGGGGAAGGTTACAAGGCTGGCCTCACCGAGACTGTCCTATGTCCTCCTGTGAACCACTGTCTCCGCTGGGGGAGCTCCCAAGCAAGCTCTAGCCCCTTGGTAGCAGGTGGCACTGAAGACCTGGCCCCAAGACACTCAGCTGACTCATGCCACATATGTGGAGCCCTATTGTGTGATGCTTTGTTCTTTTGACTTTTTCTGAGGGCCCATCACCCAGCTCCCAAATAAATCACACACGGAGGCTGATTCTTAGTTAGGAATGCCTGGCCTTAGCTTGGCTTGTTTCTTGTATTAAGTTAACCCGTCTACCTTTTCCGTGTGGGCTTTTATCTTTCTTAATTCTGTACATCTTTCTTTCCGTCCTACTCCGTGGCTGGCTGAGTGGCTGGCTCCTGGCGTCCTCCTCTCCTTGTTTGCTCCCCAGTCTCAGTTCTCCTTCTATTTATCCTCTCTGCCTGCCAGCCCCTCCTATCCTTGCTTCTGCCTCGCTATTGGCTGTTCATCTCTTTTTTAGGACCATCAGGTGTTTTAGACAGGCACAGTAACAGCTTCACAGGGTTAAACAAATACAGTGTAAACAAAAGTCACACACCTGAAAATAATATTCCCTGACAGAGCCTGTGTGCGTGACAGGCTGGGCCTGATGGTACAGGCTTGTCACTCCAGCTACTGGGAAAGCTGAGGCAGGAAGCTACAAGTTCAAGACCAGCCTGGGCAGTAGGGTGAGCTCAAGGTCAGCACGGGCCACTTAGAGAGACCCTGTCTCAAAAATAAGAAGCAGGAGCCTGAGACATTCACTATGCAAACCCGGAGACCTGAGTTCAATCTCAGAGACCCTCATAGAGGAGCCCCTGTACCACACAGCTGGGGACACAGCTCAGTGGTATGGCACCTGCCTAGCACCTGGAAGACTCTAGGTTCAAAACCAAACAACACGTAACCTCCATGGAGCAAGAGCGCCACTTAGTGGCTGAGCCCTCCAGAGCCATTCCTTGGCGAGGATCAAGTTTGGAGGGCCAGGCACTGACGTCAGAAGCTCCCCAGAGGTGTGGAGGCCTCATCCCCAGGGACCTGTTTGATTCATTTTGTACCTCAACTGGCTGCCCTTCTCCCTGCCTCAATTTCCCCTTCCTTTATGGAGTCATCTAGAATCTGTAAGCCCCAGACTCCTTTCTCTGGGTCTCCTTTTGGGGTCTCGCCCTGCATCCCAAACAGCATCCCAAAGTGTGTGTTAGCGTGCACCAATGACAGGTTTTCCTCTAAAAATAGATCTCTTTATTCAAGGGTCTTAGTATTATACAACAGATATTAAAGCTTCTTTAAATAGGATATAAAACACAGTGCAAAATTCGACAGAAATACAGATATGTGTGCTGAAGCCACACACCGTTGTGACCCAAGGCAATCACTTTGACCTCGACGACCTTGCCGTCCCCAGATGCCTGTACAGACAAGGCTATTATACAAGTTAAATGCTGAGCACACGTTCTGAACATCTACGTGAATCCTCATGCCCTTTCCGTGGGCTTCCCACGGGCTTTTTGTCAATGACCTAAGAATGGCTGAAAGGAACTGGAATTTAGGATGACTGAAAGGCTCAGGCTGGTCCAGAGAGTAAGCTTAGGGAAATTGTTATTTTAAACAATGAGGTGGAAGGTCAGAGAGCCAGCACATAAGATGCGGACAGCACTGGACCAACGGTCACTTTGAAGGATTTCCGCCAGCGCCTCCACGGAGCAGCTCAGCTGGGTCTCAGAAAGGACAGTGGCCTTTCCGGGAACATTTCCCGAGGCTGCTCCTGCGCTGTGCCCTCCTTGAGCATGCTCATTTGTTGTTCTTCTGGCCTCAGGAATGTGGCCAAGCTTCATTGCAAGGAAACCCCAGAGAGGTAGGTGGTGTGTGTGTGTGTGTGTGTGTCTATCCCAGAGGTGGTGGCAAAGGCCTCCTGTCAGTGCAATGAGATCAGAAACTCTTGGGACCACACGTATTACATCATTAGGACAGCTTTGCCAGGTAACTTCAAAAAGAGGATTGCCACGTTGTACCTCAGGCCCTCTGTTTGAAACCAGACAGATACAAAGACAGAGCACAGAGAACCTTTTGTTGGTTGTGAACCCCCCGCCCCCCAGCACACCTTCTATGCAAGGCCACTGTGTTTATATTGGCTCAGTGAGGCTACTGGCATTGGAGGGAAAGAGCCTGGGCTCCCAGAGGCGTTGGGAATGAGTTGGAGAAACCCTGGCCCAGATGCCCTTAAGGGTTGACCCACATGTGTTCTGTAAAGCTATGGCTTTATGCCAGCCTCAAAGCCACACAGCATCACGGGTAACGTGGTTGTGGGGTCTTTTTGGCATCATGCAGTAAAGTACTAGTTAAAGGGCACTCCAAAAAGGACAGTCACCTGTTCCCAAAAGACACTGGTTTCTCAGACACTAAGATCTCATTATGACCACAAACAGTTAAAAAAAAAAAACTGTCACGAGGCCACCCAAAAGTGACATCAGGTCAGGAATGCAGTTTCTGCACTGCCCCAACAAATCTGGCCCCTGGAAGGTGGCCTATATCCAAGAAGGAAGTAAAGCTGGCTGGGCTCTGGTTTCAGGGAGCCCATGACTAGAAGGTATGAAGGTGACAAGGAAGGATGGGGTGACCTAGAGGGTAGATATGTTGGAAGGTAACTATTCTTGTCACTCTTGGCTTAGGGGCTCTGGTGAGAGATGCCTATGGTCTCCCAGGAGTCTGAACAGAGGGAGGCTTCTAGCGCACAGACGGTACAAGTGACACAGGTGGCCCCAGCTACACATACCTGAAAACTCCCGAATCCTCACCATACCCACATGACAGCTGCAGAAGAGGAAACCGAGGCACAGAGATTGAGTGTGGCTTGCTCAGGTTACTACTGGTAAATGGCAGGGCTGGGATTTGAACCGTGGTCTGTTGTGTGCAATGCTATACATGACTTATGATCTAGGGCATGTCTATCCTTGGGGTCCACAGCCACCTGGCTTTACCTGTTTCACTTCATCCAGGGAAGATGTTCCACAAGGTCCGCCTTCCCTGGGACAATGGGGAGACTGGACATCAACGAGTCTCTGCCCACAGCTGCATCCCTCTCATGGGCCATCTAAAGCCAGTGGGTCACAGGAAACGGTGACATCTTACAGCTCAATCCAAATGACAGAGCTTGTGGGTGATCCACAAATAAGTGGCCAGGACCTTGAATATCTTAGGAAGGGACATGACTTGAGACCTGGAGGTGTCTCTGGGAAGTTCAGTAGAGGTAGCAATACCAGGCTGGATGGGCCACCAGGGCCAGCTCACCTGGCCATATAATCTCCCAGCATCTCATCCCTGACCTCTGTCCTCTGCAGGCTTGAAGTGTTCCAGCAGCTGGCGACACTGCCCTTGGGTTCTGATTCCCAGCCATCCTCCTCTTCCTCCTCCTCTTCCTCCTCCTCTTCTTCCTCCCCCTCCTCTTCCTCAGCGTAACTGCCCAAGGAGAAAGTCAGTGTCTGAAGAGAAACTGGGGGCTCCCCAAGAACCAGATCTCTCTTTGGGGATAAGGAATCCCAAATGTTCCTCCTTAAGAGTTCATCGTTTAGAAGCTCTTCAGTAGTGCCCAAGTCCTCAGAAAATGCCAGGCATGGAAGTGCCTCCTGGTGCCCATCCCCACCAGGCTCTTGGTCTGGCTCCTTCTTGTCCAAACAGCTGGAAGATCCAGCATCGTCCTTAAGTGAGGAGTTCACCGTGCTGGACCAGCTCCTGTCTGAAGAGTCCCAGGTTGACGTGTCTTCGCTCCTTCCTGAGTCTACCCCAGACTCATCTGCCTCTGAGTGCCCCATTGTCTGGAGCTTCTCCCTCACGAAGAGGGGCCGTTCCAGGTAGGGTTGGAGGCTGTCACTGTCATCTGTGTCCTCATCTTCATCCTCGGTGCTGTCCTCTTCTGGTCCTTCCTGTAGTGTGCCTGGGTCTCTGACTGGAGGGACTGGTCTGGTCTTTATGGTCAGTTCTTTCTGGGGACAGAGGACCAGGTCATCCAGGAACTCAGGTTCACTGGGAAGAAAGGCTGCCGTGGGATATCTGTATTCAGTAAAGTCCTGATGTAGAAAGAGAAGGGGAAGAGAAGGTTTTTCAGGCTTCTTGAAACAGGCCTGGCTGAATCTGGGGCCTCCTGGCGATAGTCCAGAAGGGTTAAAGTGGAAATCATTCCTTTAGGAGGCGTTCCCAGAAAACACCAGCGCAGTGGGGGAGGGACCATTCTCTAGCAAAAGCTTTCATTGTTCTGAGGAGCCTTGCACACATGCACACACGCCCCTCAAAGCTACCCCACTGATGGAAGAGCACCTGGGCTATTATGGGAGCTACAGGCCGTGTGGGAACAATCAGCAGAAGTGTGGTGGTGTAGGAGATCCTGCTGGTTGCCATGAATAGGGAGCCTCGAGGTCAAAGCACTGAGCAGCAGAGGTCACTGCAGGTGACCTCTCCAGGTCTTTGAAACTACTCTCTGCTGTGACACAGGGGCACAGTGACACGGGGACATAGGGAGTTCTACCCTCAAAGCTTGTCACTCCCTAAGGACTTAGAGAGCCCCCCCCCCCAGTCCAGCTCTCCTCTCTGACCTCTCCAGGGCTCTCCCTTCCCCCAGCTAGCTCCTGGATTCCAATAGAGGATCTAACACCCCAATCTTGGCCCGGTGATGCTCAGCCTTGGTTAAGTTGTAAACTAAGCATTTAGAGCCTTAAAAGATGCCCCCATCCATGCTTCCTCCCACCCCACAAACTTCTGACCCTCTCTCCTGGGTCTCAGGGCTGGGTGTTTCTCTTTGCACCCGACAAAGCCCTGGCAGAGGTGACGTGATTCCACGGGAAGGGACTTAGGCACGTCTCCCTGGTGGGCAGATTTGCTGTTGGGAGGTGGGAATTTAGACACCGAGACAAGAAAGTCAATGTTTCGGTCTGGGCCAGTTTGATATTCTGTGTGAAGCATTGGAAACTCAGCCCCCATGTTCAGATTCTCAACACCCCACTTACATACACCCCTCCACGCCCTCTATACGCCCCAAATGTGCCATACCAGTGCTTGAGGCCTCTTCACCCACTGAAACCAGGGGTCCCCTTCCAGTTTCTTCCAGATCACACCCGCTGCAGCAGCTGCTACCAGTAGAGGGAAGCCTAAGAGCAGTGTCAGGAGAGCCCAGGTGGCCCCTAGGGAGGAAAGGACACAGAAACTGCAGGCGGAACCATGGTCCAGTCCCCGGTGTGCCAGGTGCTTCCAGTGACCATCCTACTCGCCCCTCAGGAGCATAAGCTCATTCTGGCAGAAGCCGAGGCTCAGAGAGGCCATGTAAACTACCCAAAGACACACAGTCAATGTGGTAGAACTGTAATGTCCATAAGTGAGCACCTCTCAGTTTATACTTTCAATAACTCTGTCATGAGACTTTCGAAGTCCCAGAGGGAAGTACGGTGTATTGGTATTTTGTCTGTGTTTTAACAAATAAAGCTTGCCTGAAGATCAGAGTGCAGAGATAAGGCACTAGAAGCCGGGTAGTGGTGGCACACATACACCTTTAATCTCGGGACTTGGGAGGCAGACAGATCTCTGTGAGTTCAAGGCCACCCTGAGTAAATGAGATTGAATCTGTCTAAAAGAGAAACAGAGCCCAAAGGAGACCCCAGCACTTGGGATCCCATGCCTTTAATCCCAGCACTAGGGAGGTGGAGGCAGAAGCCATATGGCTGGGTGGGGAGAGGAAGATAAAGTCGAAGGAGACAGGATCTCAGTGTAGTCTGAGGAGCAGTACAGTCTGAGGCGGCCAGTCTGAGGACAGGATCACCCTTTTGGTCTGAGCACTGGTAGAGGTAAGAACTCTAGTGGCTGACTGCTCTGCTTCTCTGATCCTTCAGCCTTCACGCCCTGGTAGCTGACTCTGAGTTTTTATTATTAATATCAATTAGAATCCATGCTACGGTCCCCACACCAGTGCCATTTTGCACTCACCTGGGTCCTCTAGAAAGATGCAGCTGGGTTCAGAGAAGGGGCTGTACTTGATCTCAGTGTGAGGATAGTAAGTCCTGGCGCTGAGGCAGTGACGTCCGTTAGCACCTTTCGGGAGAGGGATCTTAACAGGTTGGTCATATGAATTGGCAGGATATGGGGTCTGTTTGGAGAAGCAAGCAACGGTGAGCATGCGCTAGCGGATGGGGCCATGTGGTAGGGTGGCAGGGTGAGACAGAGTGGGACCCAGGAACTTTCCTATGTTAGAGTGCAAGCATCAGGGCTGGGGAGATGGCTCTGTGGTTAAGAGGATTGGCTGCTCTTCGAGAGATCCCGAATTCGGTTCCCAACACCTACATAGTGGCTCACTACTGTTTATAACTGTAGTTCCACGGGATCAGGACCCCCTCTTCTGGCGTGCAAATGAGTATGTGGACAGAACACCCGTACACATAAATAAATAAATCTTTTTTTTTTTTTTTTTTGCAAACAGTGTGGATCAGGTAAACAAACACTGTTGCTCCAAACCCATCTTTATTAACACATAGGTAGAAGGGTCCTACAGAGACATTAATGAAGTCTGTTTCTCCGATCTCTCATCAGCCTGGACCCCTCTCTCCAAGGCTACAAGGGGTCGCAACAATGTTTTCATGTGGTCCAATATTTTTGTAAATTTTCCAAACAATGTTTACACTCCTGGCATTAGAGAAGTGCTCAGCTCTCATTCCAAATCCCTGTCCATTCTGTGTCCCCTAACAGCAAAGGTATGGGATTTCCGGTAACGAAGTAAGGGGAAGCCGAGTGGGCAGGTATGTGGTTTCTATGCCTTTGCAGTTGCTTCTCTGTGTGAGTGAGTGCTGGAACTCCCTCTGGAAATGTCATTTCCAGGGATAGATACATCTTCAGCAATGGCACCCACTTCCCACCACAGGTGACACACAGGCCACACTGCCCAGGGGGTCCTTCAGTAGAGCAGATGCAAAGTGACCAGGAGATTCTGGAAGCTGATCTGGGATGTCTTCCTAACTGCTGAGAGTTCTCAGGTGTGAGCAGAGGATTTTGGTACCCACTGAAACAAACGTTCACGCGTCAGAAAAACACTCAAATAAATAGGATTGCACTTCTGAGAATATCTTTTTTGCAGGAAATCACACAAGGTAAAATTTGTCAAATTTGTAGGACACAAACACAGAGAATAACTCCAAACAGATCAGTCTGCGGTGGCGGTTTGATGATTTGTGTACACTGTGTCCGAGGCATCTGGTCCTCACAAAGGCTGAAGGTTCCAGACAAAAGAGCATGCAGAATTGCCACCAGCACCACAAAGCAGCCTGGGAAAGACTGCGGGGGCAGACTCCTCCACAGCCCCCACTGACAGCACAGCCCTCAGATTCAAAGGCTGTCTGGATTGCAGACCTGCAGGGCTCTGTAGAAGCTGCAGCACGTCTACGAGCGCCGCGCAGGCATTGCTCTGGAGAAGGCTTCACTGCAGATGAAGGGTCTGTGTTTTCCTGCAGCTACTGATCACTTTAATAACTGCCTTAGTTAGGGTTCTGTTGCTGTGAAGACACCATGACCGCAGCAACTCTTACGAGGAAAACATTTAATTGGGGCGGCTCGCTTATAGTTCAGTGGTTCAGTCTGTTATCCCGGTGGGAAGCATAGAGACCTGTAGGCAGACACGGTGCTGACTTTCTCTTGATCTGCAGGCCACGGGAAGACAACTGAAACACTGGGCGGTGTCCTGGGCATAGGAAACCTCAGAGCCCACCCCCACAGTGACACACTTCCTCCAACAAGGCCACACCCACTCCAATAAAGCCACACCTCCTAACAGTGCCACGCCCTATGAAGTTATGGGGGCCAATTACATTCAAACCACCACACTCCACTCCCTGGCCCCCATAAGCTTGTAACAATATCATAATGAAAATGCATTTAGCCCAGCTTCAAAAGTCCCCATAGTCTATCCGTCTCAATAATCTTTTAAAATCCAAAGTTCAAAGTCCCTTCTAGATTCATGCAATCTCTTAACTATAATCACATATAAAAAATCAAAATAAAAAAGCAGATTACATACTTCCAACATATAATGGTACTTTACCATTCCAAACACAGGGAGGGGAGCATAGTAAGAAAATACTGGGCCAAAGCAGGACCGAAAACCAGCTGGGCAAACTCCTAATTCTGCGTCTCCATGTCTGATGTCAAATGCTCTGCAGATCTCCAACTCCTCTCAGCTTTGATGACTGCAGCAAACATCTCTCTCTGTGCCTGGTTCCACTCCCTGTTAGCAGCTCTCCTCGGCAGGTATCCCCACAGCTCTGGCATCTCTAACATCTTGGGTTCTCCAAGGCAACTCAGGCTACACCTTCACAGCTTCACAAAATGGCCTCTCTGGGCCTCCCTCCATCAGAGACACCCCTGACACGTGCCTGGCCTCAGCAGCTTTCTTTAAGCACAAAGGGAAATCCCATAAACCATTTTTTCCATCCTTAAATTTAAAACCAGGACCATTCTGCAGCTTGCTGGAGCTGGAACATGGCCCCCCTCATTCAATTACATCTTCACGGCTTTTTGTCCTTCACTTTTTGTCCCTGGCTGTCCTGAAACCGGATCTCTAGACCAGGCGGGTCTCTAACTCAGAGATCCTCCCTAAATAGATCTTAAAAAAGAAAGTACAAGCGCTGTGGACACTTTCTACGTCCTTGTTTCTTCTCAGCTGAATTTCCTTGTACAGACCATTGGGGTTCAAAAGCAGTCTCCTACTTGGGGTCACTCCCATGTAGCTCACCACAGCCTGGAGGGACCACCATCTCCACTTGGGATAAGGGACATCCAATCACTGTAGGTTTAGACGCTGCCCTAGCTGCCCAGTGCAGTTCAAGGCAGGGGCAGGTGGCTAGTGAGAATGGAGATATGACCTGAACACAAAATGCTTATCAGTTTCCAAAGACAGAGGAGAAAAAGAAGGCAAAACAGCGATAGTATTAATTCTGTGTTGACAAGGCAATATGCTATGGGAAAAAAGGCAGGCAGAACTCTGAGTTTGAGGCCAGCCTGGACTTCATAGTGCTCTCTTGGATCCAGCTCTTGCTCCAGCGATTAGACTCCTTTCCTGGCTGTAGGGGTTCTGTAAGTTTCCCCTAAAATAAATACCCTTTTGAATCCAAACTGGTGTGGGATTGTTTTGCACATTAATTTCTTTTTTTTTTAAAAGGTTTATTTATTATGTATACAATGCTCCTCCTGCATGTGCACCTCCATGCCAGAAGAGGGCACCAGATCTCATCACAGATGGTTGTGAGCCACCATGTGGTTGCTGGGAATTGAACTCAGGACCTCTGGAAGAACAGTCAGTGTTCTTAACCTCTGAGCCATCTCTCCAGCCCTGCACATTAATTTCTTGTTCCTTTTGGAAGCTCCTTGATTGCACTTCCTGTTTACTCAAGTAATATTATTTCCCTTCTCAGGTCTTCGATGGGGTTGAAGACTAGATAGTCATAGTAACTTTCCTCTCATGACTTAGCCAAGTCATTTCTAATACAAGACTTAGACTCCTTAGGCTAGGATTAACTATAGAAACATTTAGCAAGCCGGGCGGGCGGTTTGTGGTGCACGCCTTTAATCCCAGCACTTGGGAGGCAGAGGCAGGCGGATCTCTGTGAGTTCGAGACCAGCCTGGTCTACAAGAGCGAGTTCCAGGACAGGCTCCAAAACCACAGAGAAACCCTGTCTTGAAAAACCAAAAAAAAAAAAAAAAGAAACATTTAGCATACATTTCTTGCTTGATGTTGTTCATATGGGTTGTAATTCTAATTTTTATACTTGATATTTGTTCTTATTGTATAAAGATTTGTATTAGGCCTAGAACTATTATTTTGACAAAAGGGGGAGGTGCTGTGGAAACTCCTTCAGCCAATAGCCTTTAAGATACTGGCCCACCTCGGGCATGATCTAGATAGATAGATAGATAGATAGATAGATAGATAGATAGATAGATAGACAGACAGACAGATAGATAGATCATGCATATGTAAAAGCGTGGGGGGGCTTTTTTGGCTGCTGGATTTGGTTTCAGTTTCCCGCTCATACACATGGTTGCTGATCACTGCTTTTTCTGTGAGTTTACCCCTAAATAAAGAAACCTTTATTATACCCCATCCAGGGCAAGTGTGGGACTACTTTATTATAACCTGCGACAGCTATGGTGTAGTGGAGGAAAGCGCAGGAAGCAGTGTGAGAAGTGGGGAGGAGACCCCGCTAGGGACAGCACAGGATTTCCTACCTTGTGTTCCTCGCCCTCCTTCCAGAATTCCACGTCATACTTCAGGTCCAGAGAAGGCACACAAGGCGGCAGCTGGTAGGTGGCATTGACCCATAGGATCTTCTCCATCCGGGTGAGCACAAGGGTGGGCGGGGCCAGCCCCACTGTCAGAAATAGAATAGGACCTGTCAGTAACCTCTGGGGGCCCAGGTTCTATTCTCCTGTCTGCCTGCCCAGAGAGCAGTCTCATTAGCATTTTTTTTTTTTTCAAATATCTGCTAAGCTGCAAGCTCCTCACAGCCCTTTTACTCGCTCCTCACTGACCCTGGGAGGGAAGCGCCACAGCCCCACTGCATGTGTGTTTATGTATGTGTTTGTGTGAGCACACCTGTGAGTGTGGAGGCCAGAGGCTCAAGTGTGTCTTCCTCTGTTGAACTCCACCTTACCGTTTGAGTCAGGGTCTCTCACTGAACCTGGGTCTCACTGAAGCATTTGACTGAGTTCTCTCCCCAGCCTTCACCAACTCAATTTTTTTTTTTTTAAAAGAGCAAGACCCTAGAAGCTATAACTTGCCAGAATACCTACTTGTAGTGGTAGTGGATGGGTGTCTGGATCCTTCTGACTTTAGACAAGTTTGGGTGAGGAAGGGTGGTCATGGGGGTGGGGGGCGGTGGTGATGAACACCAATAGTAACCTTACAAATCTTAGCTCTGTCTCTTGCTATCCCAGAGAGATGGATTAGTCAAAGATGTCCAGGGAAAGCAACCCAGCACGCTGTGCCAACACACGACATTAGATGTCCCGTAGGGGTGACTCTTCAAGCAGCTGCAGATCCAAGATTCTCGAGATTCTTATATCTACAATAACACGGCCATCTGGTCTTTTATGTATGGAACCAAAGAAAACTGTTGATGTCACTCTGATGAAATATGGAGGCTGGCCAAACTCCTTGGTTGCACTTGCGCGTACTTGGGACCCATGTGAAGAAAGAAGCCTGCCTTGGAAGCCAGAGCTCAAAGGTCTCTGGGAGTCAAGGAGAATTGTCTCAGACTGTCAACCTGAATGACATTTGTTTGCCTGGCTGGATTTTAAAACTGCTTTGGGCCAGTGCCCCCATTTCCCTTGTTTCCACCGTGTTTATTAGTGCTACCTTCTCCTCCCACGTCTTTTATAGGGAACAGAGATCATAGACTTCACCCTTTCCAGGTGGAGAGGACCTGTGCCCATAAGTTGTACTGAGTGGATGGCATCGGAGCCATCATCGGACACTCTGGTTCAGACACCACCTGGGAGATCTTGGAATCTAAGTTGATGTTGTAATAATAGGCAACTTTGGGGGACCTTGACATGGGATGAATGAATTCTGCACTTGCAAAGATGTGAATTTGGGGGTCAAGAGGAAAGCCTATGGCAGGCCCCTCCAAAGATGTTCCACTCTGATCCCTGGGTGCGGCCAAGCTGCTGTGTTGTTGTTGAGTGGCAAAAGGAATTCCAGTTAAGGTTCAGAGCCATAAAGTGGTGAGTTCATCATTGGGCCATGCAGATAGGTCCAGAGCTTTTCTGCTATTGGCAACAGAAAAGCCAGAGAAGAGGGGAAGGTGCTGAGATGCCAGCTATGACTGGGACACGGCTGTGCCATTTCCAGTTAGAAGAAGGGGGTGATGGGAGTGTGAGGAGAAATGCAAGCATCTTAGCAGCCTGGCGAGGCTCCTAGCTGGTAAACAGTGAGGGGTCAGGGACCTCAGCCTGGCAACTGGAACAGAAGTTCATTTTGCCCTGGGCTTCTAAGGTGAGGCCTGGATAGAAGGACAGTGAGAGGCAGAGGGGCCGTTGAGCTCCCTGGATCTCCAGCCCAGAGAAGCCAGTCTGGCTTATTTGGCTTATTCCAGTCACTATCTGGAAAACAAAGGAAGGATTGTGCCTGATGAATTGTGACATTAGAGGTTGCTCTACATGCACATATGATACATGTACACACATAAACACATATTAATACACACACATATTTCTGCTATTGATTAAGGTATTATGTTTGTGCAGCCCATTTAAAAATGTAATGTATAATTAAGAAATACAGGTTAATAGAGACTCATCTGTGATAGTCAAGCTTTTAGTTATGTCAGTTAAGTTTTCTAGATTTTTGAGATATAGTTCAGTTAGATAATTTTCAAACCTTTCAGAGACCTACGGAATATGACTTTTAAAATGTTTTAAGAACTTAGGAGGGAGCTGGAGAGATGGCTCAGTGGTTAAGAGTGTTGCCTGCTCTTCCAAAGGTCCTGAGTTCAATTCCCAGCAACCACATGGTGGCTCACAACCATCTGTAAAGAGGTCTGGCGCCTTCTTCTGGCCTTCAGGCACACAGACAGAATATTGTATACATAATAAATAAATAAATATTTAAAAAAAAAAAAAAGAACTTAGGACTATTCATGACAATGAGACATATCTGCTCCTGGCAGCACCAATCTACTTTAAGAGGATGCTGGGCATTGAAGAGTCTCCTTATAAAGTTTGTTAGCCACTTGGGCAAGAAACTGCTCTTGCCTAAACTGCCTGACTGAACTTTAAGACCCATAGAAGATAGTCCTTTGGGGTTCCTGCTTCAGGAAAGAGTCTGTGAGGGGCTGGAGAGATGGCCCAGAGGTTTAAGAACACTGACTGTTCTTTCAGAGGTCCTGAGTTCAATTCCCAGCAACCACATTGTGGCTCACAACCATCTATAATGAGATCTGGTGCCTTCTCCTGGCCTGTAAACATACGTGCAGACAGACGCTGTGTACATAATAAATAAATCTTCAAAAAACTTTAAAAAAAAAGAGTCTGTGAGACATTCTACAGGACACAGAAGAAAGCAACTGATGGACATGGCTCTTACAAGGCAGAACAGATCTTCAGGTTTCCTGCTTCACTGAAAAGTCTGCTGAATACTATGAGCCTGTGGGCTGAAGATGGATGTCCCAACAGTACAGAAGAACTTTGGGTGACTGTCCGGGCAGGCAGCAGGATGTCTCTGTCAATTCTATAGTTTTGGAAGTTGCTTACAATGCACTTCCTGTTAACTTAGGTAAGATTATATCCTTCTGGAGTCTTTGATGGACTTGAAGAATAGATACTTATAATTATAGTTTTCCTTAGTTATGACAAAAAATAAAGTAGATATAAATATTGTAACTGTAATTCTTCTTTGATACATGTTTTGTTATATGTAATTTTACTATGTTAAAGTTAAAACCTTCCTTTTTATTTTAACAGAAAAGGGGAAATGATGTGGGAAGTTCTTCTGTATATGTGTTGCTTTTATTGATTAATGAATAAAGCTTTTTTTGGCCAGTGGCTTAGCAGAAATAGAGCTAGGTGGGAAAACTAAACTGAATGTTGGGAGAAGGAAGGCAGAGTCAAAAAAAAACAACAACAACAACAAAAAACGCCATGGAGCTGCCAGAGGGGAAAGACGCAAGCTGCCAGCTGGAACCTTGCTGGTAGGCCACGAGCCTCATGGTAAAATATAAAACAATAGAAATGGATTAACCAAAGATATAAGACATAGCTAGCAATATGCTTAAGCTATTGGCTAAACAGTGTTGCAAATAATATAGTTTCTGAGTGACAATTTTGGGTCTAAGCAGCTGGGAATGAACAAGCAGCCTCCCCCAACACGCGTGTGTGCATGTGACAGAGGCCAGAAGATGGTGTCAAATCCCCTAGAACCGGAGTTATAGTCTCTTGTGAGCTGCCTGCAGTGGGTACTGGGAACCAAACTGTTCTCTGCAAGAGCAGCAAGTGTTTCTTCAGCCTTGGGACTCACCTTGAAAAAAGTACTCCAGGTATGGGGACACCACCCATGGGGACCTGCCATGCGCAGACACAGCCCGCACTTGTCCCCTGAACTTTCTGTACAGATCCTGGTTCTTCAGGCACATCATGGGGCACACCAGAGCTGTGGTGCCTTTGCACTGCTCCACTTTTCGCCAAGGCTCGGAGCTGGGGTAGCTGAGGGGAGACAGAAGAGGGTGAGTCGTGGACTCACCTCTGGGTTAGAGGACCTACCGAATATAGATCCCACCCTTCAGCCCGATGCCACTGGTGCATCTGCCTGTCCATCTGCTCAGCCGGGCAGCCACCAGCAGACAAGTGTGCCTGGGAATCCCGTCTCTGCCTTCGCTATCTCAGGGTCCTTCCGCAGGGCGCTGCCCCTCAGTCCCAGTATCCCGTTTGCAGGGCAGCCTCACAAGGCGACGGTGGAACTGTTATTGTGAATATCAGTGGATACTCTCCGTGTGCTATTTGCTCGGGCATCTGTAGGTCACAGGCTGTAGGTCAAGCGCCATGCTGGGTGCTGAGTGAGTGTCAGAGGGCTTCAAGTGATTGCCACATGCTCAGAAAACGGAGATCAAAAGGTGATTTATGCCCAGGTGTTATCCCAGGTACCAGTGACTCAGCAAAGCATGGCAGATGAGGTTCTGCCCCAGGAAGGTTCTCAGAGCTGATGGGAGGGAGCAGGGAACAATCATCACACCCACAAGGTAAATCCAGGAGCTAGTAGTTGCAGTGATAAAATGATAAAAACAAACAAAAAAAAAAAAACAGAGAGACTGCTTTTAAAGGGCAGCTGAGAAGAGGCCAGGGAGATGGTGCTCCCCAGTGAGGAGGAAGAAGAAACCAGGTGACGGGGTGAGAGAGCAAGAGGCAGAACAAAGGCCTGAGATGCTGTGCTGGGTAGCCCTTGCCAGCTCTACAAGGTAGGATCATCCAGGAAGAGGAACTTGAATTGAGAGAAAATGCATCCATCAGACTGACCTGTAGGCAAGTCCATGGGGCATTTTCTTGACTAATGATTGACGTAGGAGTTCAAAGCCTACTGTGGGCGGTGCTGCTTTTAAGCGGGAGGTCCTGGGCTGTGTAAGAAAGCAGACAGAGCAAACCGTGAGGAGCAAGCCAGTCAGCAGCACTCCTCCATGGTCTCTGCTTCGGTTCCTGCCTCCAGGGTTCTGTCCTGCTTTGAGTTCCTAACCCAACTTTCCTCAGTGATCAACTGTGATCTGGACATGGAAGCCAAATAAATTCTTTCCTTCTCAAGTTGCTTTTGGACATGGTGTTCATTGCAACAATGGAATGCACACAGGGACATGTGGGAAGGAGTTCGGCATAGCCAGAGAAACGCAAGGGAGACAGGGAGGTGGCAGGTCGGGTGCCTTGCAGGTCTTGGTTAGGAGTGTGAATATATCTGTATCTCTATCTATCTATCTATCTATCTATCTATCTATCTATCTATCTATCTATGTGACTTGAAGTCACTGGCTGCTTACATGAGGTCTGCTATGGTTTAAAGAAATGAATGCTGGAGTTCACACCCCAAAGTGATGTCTTCTGGGTATTAAATCATGAGGACAATATGGCTAGTAAGGATGACCTTCTAAAATGGCTTCAGACAGCTTCCTAGGCACCCTGCCTCTTTTCACATGAGGACACAGGGTTGGCATCTCTGCCATATAAGGATGCAGGAGAAGGCATGATCTCAGAAGCGTCCCTCTCCTGATGCCAGATCCGCTAGTGACTTGACCTTAGACTTCTCGGCCTTTAGAAACATGAGAAATAGTTACTGTCTTGAACGTACACAGACTAAGATATTTAAGGTAGAGCACAGTGAATAGCTGAAGTGATCTAACTTATATTTTTAAAAGGTCACCGTTGGAGCTGGCAAGACGGTCCTGCAGGTAAAAGTGCTTGCCATGCCTCAGGGGGCACCCAAGTTTGATCCCTAGAACTCAGATAAAGATGGAAGTAGAGGCCGGGTGTGGTGGTGCAGAAAGACACACAGGCCGCGAGTTCGAGCCTAACCTGGTCTACATAGAGAGTTTCAAGCCAGCAAAAGTTAAATAACAAATAAACAAATTAATAAGTAAAACAAAACCCAGTGCACACATGTACCAGCATGTGTGAGTACACACCAACACCCACACACGATTCCAAGAGAACTGACTCCACAGACTTGTCCTCTGACCCCTACACATGCACTGTGACATGCACACATGTGCATATGCACATAACAGCCATACATTAAAACACCTTCTCAAAGACGCCTCAGAGCAGCGTCAGGGGCTGCAGCCGCGGCAGAGCAGGTGACGGAGAAGGCGAGAAGAGGTAGATCCAGGATATGCTTTGGGAGGCATAGCCAGTCAAATGTGCTCAGAGCTTGCATGTGGAGTGAGAGGGGCGGGAAGTGAAGCTGTTCCTGGGTTTGAGGAATGAGTCATGGGAGAATGGAGAAGCTGAGTTTGGATGCTGGAGGACAGAGACACCAACGGGGAACCAGATGTTCAAGACCTGAGCCTATGGGGGACATTCCTCAAACTACCACAGAGGGTGATTCTGGTGAGGTCCCAGACAGAAAGAACACTGTTATGTTACTGTAATCCCAGCACTTGGGAAGTAGAGAACAGAGGATTGGGAGTTCAAGGCCATCCTCCACTACTCAGTGAGTTCAAGGCTAGCCTGGGCTACATGAAATCCTGTTTCAAGACACATATTCTAGAGAGAACACCAACATTGTGGTGGGGAGATCCTTTGATAAAGAATTCATGGATTTTGGGGTAGGAGAGATGTCTCCATGGTTACGAGTACTTGCTACTCTTGCAGAGGACCTGAATTAGGTTCCCAGCACCAACATGGCAGCTCATAACCATCTGCAACTCTAGTTCCAGGGGATACAATGACATTTTCTGGCCTCTGAGGGCACCGCACTGAAGTTCTTACATACACGCAGTCAAAACACCTACACAAGAAATCTTTTTTAAAAAAGAATGCACGGGTGGAATTAATGGCAGAAACCAGCAGAGCCATTGCCAGCGTTGACTGACGGGGACAGAGACTGGAGAAAATGGAGTAAGCTGACCAAAGGGGACAAAAGAGCTATTTGTATGCTGACTCGCATTATTGTTTGGGACAAGAGAAGACGGGGCATGAAGATGATTGAGGGATCCACAGTGGGGTGAAGGCAAGGGTGTCTTCCCAACTGCTGGGACGCAGTTCTCTCAGGGATTGGGCTGTTGGGCTGCTTTACAGGGAAAAGGGGAGAGTCCTCCAGGCTTCTGGGTTCAAAATTCACAGTTGCCACTCTAGTGGTCCCAGGGCCAGAACTCTGAGCTAAAAAGGATAGTTTCTGGGGTCTTAAGGGATCCAGGCACGGCGGAGCACACCTGTAATCACAGCACACAGGAGGCAGAGACAGGAGGATCACGAGTCCCAGGCTAGCCCGGGCTACATTGCGAATTCTAAACCAGTCAGGGCTACCTAGGGAGATCCTGTCTAAAACTACCAACAAAGTTGGGCATGGTGGTAGATGCCTATAATCCTAGTATTTGAGAGGTAGAACAAGTTTGAAGCCACCCTGAGCTACCTAGTAAAACCTTGTCTCAAGAATCAAACAAATGGGGTGGACTGGAGAGACAGCTCAGCAGTTCCAAGAGGACCTAAGTTCAGCTTACAGCTCCCCTATCAGACAGTTCACAATCATTTGTGACTCCATCTTCAGGGTATCCAATGCCCTCTTCCGGTCTCTGTGAGAACCTGCACCCACATGTACATATGCACATGTACACACGTATACACACGTACACACACACACACACACACACACACTTCTTTTGTTGGTTTGGTTTTTTGAGATAGTTTCACTATGTAGTCCTGGTTGTCTTGGAGCCAACTGTGTAGACCAGGCTGGCCTTAAACTCACAGTGATCCACCTGCCTCTGCCTCCTGAGTGCTGGGATTAAAGGCATGTGTCACCACACCCAGCAATAAATCTTTTTCAAAGAAAAAAAAAAGAGAAACTTTACCAGAGGTTGCCTCGCCAGGTGTGACCAGAGTCACCCTCCTGACCCCAACCACCCTGCCTACCTCATACCAGCTCCACCCCTTCACTTTCTAAAGTGACTGCATCTGGTTTCTAAGGGCCACTGCTGGGGTCATTTTGCCTCAGTGTGAGTCACATTCCAGGTCACACCCACACCTGACTGAGATACCATGTAAGCAGAACTTTGGACTGACTGTGCGTGCCAGAGAGAGGTGAGACCTTTGGGGCTCTTGAGACACGAGGGAGTGCATCTTGGATCCGAGGAGAACGTGAGTTTGGGGAGTACCGAAGACGAGAGTACGCAACAGCCATAGCAAATGGACACACACCCCCAACTGGGAACAACCCAAAAATCCAGCGAGGGGAAATGGAGAAACAAGAACAAGTACAGCCGAGACGGGAAAACTACTCAGCGGTAAAAGAGAAATGAAGGGTGCGTGTGTAACCATGCGGGAGAATTCCAGAACGGCGGTAAGACAAGCCAGCCAGGCACAAAAGGGGACACACCACACAAACCCATTTTATGTTTGGGGAACGGGATGCAACGCTGTAGTTCAGCGTGGTCTGGATTCACCTCACACTCAGAACAGCTCTGTTCAGCCTCCTTAGTACTGGGATTGCTGCCTGCAACACCATACCTGGCCACGAATCCACTGATACCAACCTTGGGAACACATGAACATGAGGTTAACCCACAGTGTCAGAGGCAGCTGAGTAGCTAGCTGTGCACCCTGGGGGTAGGGTCTGAAATGCCGAGTGGCCCGAGAGAACCTCTGCGGCTAGTGGAAATGTTTCATTCCTTCGCTGCAGAGTGGTTACACGCATGCATCCATGTATGAAATCACACAAAATTAAAAACAATCAATAACAAAATCTATATCATTTGGAGAACAGCATACAGACAAAATATATATGCATAAATGAATAGAATGTTCTAGAAGAAGACACCTAAGGTAGCAACAGGCCATCAAACATGGAAATGCTAGGAGTCCATGAAGAAGAAAAATTAAAGCAAGAGAAAATAATATGAATGACTAAAAAAAAATTCCTGAAATAAAAAAGAGTTGGAACCAGATATTATTAGATCACCTAAAGACATCAGCTCAGAACCAGTGACAGACATCAGCATGGTTCTACAAAATTAGCAGATTCTAAGGCAGGGGTTTTCAACCTGTGGGTCTAAGACCATTGAAAACACAGGTATTTACATTATGACTCATAACAGTAGCAAAATTACAGTTAGGGAGTAGCAACAAAAATATAGGGTTGGGGTCACCACTACCGTATGAAAGGGTCGCAGCATTAGGAAGCCTGAGCACCGCTGGTCTAAGTACAGGAGGCTGTACTACAGACTTCGGGATAAAGGAAACTGAGTAATGAGTATTTATAGGTTCTTTGGAAGCTTCCTCTCTCGTGACAATGACAACTAAGATTGTAGAAGAAAAGAAAGAAACGTGGTCAACAGGAGAAGTTAAGCAAAAACCCACAAAGAACCAAATCTAGGTGGAAAGTGTCGGGATGAATGGATGCATGGGTCCTGTGAACCCCACTGCTGTAATGTAGTGTGATTATCTCCTGGGAACATCCCGTTCTACTGGGCGTTTTTACCTGTGGACTATCATGAAGACGATTTCTTCCTGAGTTGTACTGTCTAAATGATAATAATAATATTAGTTTAAATAGAGTTTTGGTGATTGAAAATAAACATAAGGCAATGTCATCAAGCTAGGGCAATGCATAGATCGCAGTCAGGTTAATGAGGAAGGAAAACAGCTGCGTCCCAGGAGCCAGGCTGGCTCAAATTCTTTCAGTTTGGATGTTGGAAGATGCATTCATCAGTTTCCGAGTGCATCACAGCTGAAACAAAGCCTTAGGATGACCTCAGGTTAGATTAAGATGTTTTGGTAATAGCTTTGAAGTTAGGGATCAAAAACCAAAGCAGCCCAGTTATTACTAGCTGACGTACTTTCCTTTGGAGGGCTGATTGGTGAACAAAAATGATGATTAATTCTTTGTGCCTATTTCTGCCCTCAATATCCTGATATAAAATATCCGTTGATGAGCGGGTACGCAACCTGAAGATTTAAAGTAGAGCTGACTGATTGTTTTGCACGTATGAAAGTATAAGTTTATGACTCCTTGAAGATTCCTTATAAGATTACCTTTCAAGGTAAATAATAGAATGATTGCTTCTTTCTTTGTAACCACAGAAACTCAGCCTGCCAGCAAAAGAACTAGCTGAGAAAATACCTTGCTTGCTTACACTCTGTTGATCTATAACAAGTTGCTTGGATATAAATGGACGTGGGTTCTTGGGGATAACTTGCTTTTCATCTGTAATACATAATATGTTTAATCATGTAAGGGAAATGAAAAACATGTTTCTTACTTATATTCACTGCAGTCATTCCCTAGAAAAACAGAATGAGAATGTAACCACATTGTAATTTCTGTACTGCCTGAAAGAGTCTGTGGGGGTAAACCAGCTGCAGAGGAAAAATAAAGAATCGGAATATAGAAGAATAAAGAAGGAAACCATCAAGAGAGTGTGAGCATCTTTTCCCTTACCCCATCAGATTAAAAAGGTCATAGTAAGCTGACTCCGTGGATTCCCTCTGAGCCCTGAGCTGCTGGAGGCTGGTCCCCCAGGCAGCATAAGAAGATGTAATCTTCCAGACCCTACTATCGCTACCATGCCTCCTCCACCATCCTGGACTTCTCCTCTGGAACCCTAAGCTGAAATGAACTCCTTCTTCCCTACGTTGCCTTGGCTGTGGTGTTTAACACGGCAACAGAAACGTGGCTAAAACAAAGTCCACGTGCTTCCGTCCCCTGGTGTCTCGACCCTCACAGCTCCACCCAAGCCGGACTCCACCCCATCTCCAACAAGCCTATCAATGATCTCCCCACCCTCTGACCTCCTGCAAGAGCCCCTCTCTAAGAACCTGCTAGATACCATCTCCCAGAGACCCAGAGAACTTCCGAATGTTGACACCGGGAACACAGAGAGCCCAGGGAAGCCCATCCATCCCTCACTCACTCTTCCACCTCCCCACCCATCAGCACGGAGGTGCCCCTATACCCTTGGTAGGTCACGAAATAGGTCACGTTCGGGGGGTTACCAAGCCCTGGAAGCCACGTCAGGTACACAGTGAAGTTCTCCGAGAGCAGTGTCACGTTTCTGGGTGGGGCTAGACGGAACCTTCCTGTGGGAGAGAAAGAGGTCGTGAAGCCTGGCGCTCTTGGCTAAGCTGAGCGTGTACGACAGGAGTTCAGTTCCTTGCAACCTGTAAGGACCAGCATCTGCCAAATGCTGCATTGCAACCCTTCCTCTCCCTAGCCCTCAGTGTCCCCTCTGTCAAGAGAGCTGCCTGTGTACTCTGGCACCCAAGGGTGGGTTCCACTTAGTTGCCATGGGGCAGGAGCCAATGAATGGTCTCATACCCCTCCTGGACACTGCAAGATTCTTGCAGCAAGCATTGTTTTTGATGTTATCTTTTTAAAACTTTTAATCTATCATTAGTATATGTGTATATGCATGTACGTGTTTGTGCATCTGTGACATGTAAGTGTGAGTATGGGTGTGTGCATGCCATGTCACATGTGTCGAGGTCAAAGGACAAATTTGGGGAGTTGGTTCTCCCCTCCTACCATGGGTCTTGAGGTCTAAACTCAGGGAGGGCATCAGGCTTAGATGCTACTACCCACCAAATCATCTCTGTGGTGTTCTCCCTGTGGCCCCAGTGCCTGTCTGGAATGGCCCCTGAGACACAGTGCACGTATGATACATGTGTGTTGGGTGAATGGATATTAATATAATCTTAAAAGGCCCCTCATGGGTCTGCCTGCTGATGGAGCAGGATGGATAAAGTGAAACTTGCTGCCCTGGTGGTAGGAACAGAGCTGTAATCCCAAGGGACCCAGCCAGAGCTGACCCTACTCAAACCTTTCCACCCGACCACCATATCCCCTATGGTTTGTTTATTTAAATGGACCACTCGCCTATTTGCCCACGAATGCAAGGTGGTCCCCAGACCTTATACAGTTCCCTTATACAGTGTATAAGCCGCTCCCCTTTCTGCGAGATCTGTTGTACTCCTGCTTCAGAGAGAGGGGACAACCCTCCCGCCTCATCACACCCTCCCCGCTCAGGAGCCGTGGTCTTGTTTCCGCCTGCAGATACTGGCTTTGCACTCTTCATTGAAGAATTAGTCTTGGCTCTCCCTAGGGCACCACAGAGAACACAGGGCCAGCGCTCAGTGCCAAGAGGATGGTCTGGTGGGTCTAAAGTGGGCACCACAGGAGATTTGCCAGGATCAACAGATTTCTTCTGTGAGGGGCACCTGGCTGTTGCCTGGATAAAAGGATCCTAGGCACTCTGCCAGGTACAAGAAGTGCCCTGCGTGTTCTGGTTTCAACAAGAAATGCTTCCCAGAGGCTTATAATTTCAATGTTCGATCCCCACCTCTTAGTGCCATTTTGAAAGCCTTGGCGCCTGTAGGAGGTAGAAGCTGCCTGGCGGGATAGGTGAGTGGGGGCAGCCCTCTGAGCAATATGCCCAGCCCTCATTCCAGTCCGTTCTCTCTGATTTCGGTCCACATGAACAACCCTCACCACATGCTCTGATTGCCACAGATTAGAGCCACTCTGCCATGGCTTCCTAGTCACGATGGCCGTAGACCCTCGGAAACCCTGAGTCCCAACACACCCTTCCCCCTTTAAGTGGGGTGTTTGGTCACAACCATGTAAAGGAACCAATTCACGGAGAAAGCCACATTGGAAACACCCTAGCCTGCTCCCTTGCAGCGTCTATGGATGGGGTGGTGACACTCCCTCCTGCTGGAATCCCCACCTCAGATCATCCGGGTCCTTTTCCGTCCACCCTCCTCGCGCGCGCACACACAAGGGTTAAAATGAGGGTTACACCACATCTGCCTCCTGCTTAATCCTCTCAAGGTTTCCATCTATCCTACTCCAAGGAAACGCCAGAGCCTTTACTGGAACCTCCAACGCCCCCCCCCCCCCCCCCCCCCCCCCCCCCCCCCCCCCCCCCCCCCCCCCCCCCCCCCCCCCCCCAGTATGACCTCTCCTTGTTTTCCCCTCTTCTTCCAGGAGCAGGCTGGCTTGCTCCCTGCTCTGAGCCTTTGCACATGGTGTTCCCAATGTGCAGACATCCCCTTGGCTTCTGTCACATTCCTTTGATAACACTGTCTCTCTGTGACGTGTTCCTCGGCCACCTTTTATTGACCTCCCTCCACCTCCTCTTTCACAGGTAAGTAGCTATGCTAATTAACGTCAGCTGATTGTTCCATGTCAGGGCTTCCTGCCCTTGCCCTGCCTAGAATAAAGTCCATATTCCTCATCTGGTGTCCGAGGATTTATCCGGGTGGCCTGGCTATCAGGCTGAAGTCTCACAAAGCTTCAGGTCCCCTGGTTTAGATGTCTTTGAACCTTGGGGTCTTGGGGTACCTGGAGCTCACCATCTACTCTCTGAAAGATTCTATTCAAATGTCACTTCCCCCAGGTAGCCTGCCTGGCCATCTCTAAGAGGAGACAGGGCGATGACCACAGAACAACAGCAGCCCCTTTCATATTAGGTTGTAGCTTCCAGTTAGCTGAGCTAAGCACTCCGTGAGTGGTTCAGGAGCTTCACAGCAGAGGTGGGGGAACCAAGGCCCTCTTGATACTCCAAGACAGATCAAGCCAACTCTCAGCTCTGTGCCCTGGGCTTACTTCCTCCTCCAGTATATCCTGGGCTCAGTCCTATTTTTCTATTGGTCACTTTTAACGTTTATTGTGTATGTGTGCGCGCGCGTGCATATGAGTGTGTCTCTTGTATCCCAGGCTCGATCAAATCTGTGGCGATCTTGACGCAGCCTAGAGTGCTAGGGTTGCAAGCATGCACAATCACACCTGTTGATCACTTTAACTCACTCTTCCTTGGTGTGACAGGGAGCAAACAGAAGCAAAGCGGCTCCATCTCCTGCTCTGGGGGAGCTCCTGGTCCCAGGGAGAATTCCGGCAGATGAGTCACCACGGAGACCCAGACAAGGTAATCCCAGCTCTACCTGATGTCTCTCGGCTCAGCCCAAGCCTCAGCTGCCTCCTCACCTCAGGTATTTCAAACCCGGATGTGGGTGCCTGTTTCTATCCTGTCCTATGCCCTGAAGTCGGATGGCTGAGACAGAGCTACTGTCTCATCTCGCAGGAGGCCAGTCTGTGCAAAGGCTTATTTTTAATGGCTTTAGTTTTAAGCCATTCATGAGCAGGACAGCAGCCCAGAGAGAGTTTGTGTTGGGGATAGCTGTGAGGGGGCTCAGGGCATGGATAGCACTGATCACAGGCACACCCAAGGCTCAGGCTAGTTCGACTCCCTTCAATTCACTCCTCTGTCCTGTGTGTCCCCCCCCCTCTGGGGTACATCTAAGGCAACCTCTTAAGTGCTCTGAGACTCAACTTCCCCCACCTGAAAATGATGACTATCTGCCTCACAGGCCAACTGGACTGCAAACCTTAATAAGAACACAGTGTCCAGCATAAAGAAGCAACTAAAAATAATAACACGGACTGTTAGGATTGTTTGCTTAGTCTAAGAACCCCTCCAGCCCTTTCTATTGCGAGTCTAAGACTCTGACGTACACACATGGCTACCGAGAGGGGTTACCTGGGGAGATCAGTGGATAGTTGGGGTCCTGGCCCGGATATTTCGTGCGCTGCCATCTTATTTACTAGCAGAGAGATCGAAAAAGGAAAAGCCCTGTAAAGAGTCTCCTGGCAGGAACCAGACCATCCACAGCAGCCCCCCCCCCCCCGGAGCGGGGGGGTTGGGGGGAAGTTTGATCCGCACTCAGGGGAAGGTGAGGGCAGCTCCCGCACGTCCTATTTATAAGGGTCAATCAGGTACGCACTCTGGGACTCGGTGAGCAAATCCAGTGAACGTTTTCAGATATCTCCCGTCTTGGCCTCCTGAAACCCAGCTCCCTTCTTCCCGGAAAGGCCGCTCAAGCTCAGGATTGTTTCATTTTAGGACCAAGCAAACCCGCAGCAGAAACATAAGGTCCCTGAAGTCACGGAGTGGCCCAGCAGCCACATCCCAGCTCGGGACCTCGGGTGGGTGTCCCGTGCTTACCTGGGACGCTCTGCAGCAGGCAGAAGAACAGGGGCGCCCACCGGCTGACCCGCCACATCTCGGTCGCGGGGGTCCCTGCGGCCCGCAGCCCTCAGCCCGCGGCCCGCCGCCGGCCACCAGGCCCAGGGCGGCAGGTGACTAAGGCGGCGGCCCAGGGAGGCGGAGCCTCGGGCGGTGCCTGTGGCGGGGACGCACCTGGGACCGCCCCGCCTCGCCCGCCTGAGGTCCTCGCCGTGGGTGGGGGCGGGAGTATTAGTTCATTTTCTGTAAATCAGGCAAGAAATCCAGTTCTGGGGTGGGGTTCCGAGGAAGACTAAGTAATCAGCACCCAGAACAGAGTTCGAGGTCACCGACATTTCTCCTTTCCTTCAGGCGGAGCCGGGGAAGGCACCCAGCGCGTCCTGCTTTTCTTCCCGAGTTTCTGCAGGAATTCGAGGCCGGAGTGTTGTTGGAATCCTCCGCTCTAGGGACTTTGAAGAGGCTGTCCTTCCGAATCGGGACACAAGTCACAACGCAGGCTGTTCAGTCACTAACCAGAAAGGACGTCGTTAAACGCTTTGTTTTCTAGCCTAGAACAGGGAACACTTCATCCCATGACACCAACTGTTCTAACTGGCCAAGCGGAGGCTGTTCTTGCAAACAGAGAACGGATGAAAACCGAGGAACCACGGAAGGGAAAACCGGTAGCTCTTTCAGAGTGACTCGCCCTGATGGTGGAGTGTGGCAGGGTAGAAAAACATCAGGGGTCCTTTTGTGTGTAAGGATTAAAGGTGTGCAAACTTCATTTTCTGCCTTTTGCTTGGAGTGTGGGGTGGGAATGGGAAGTTGGGGGGTGGATACCACCAAGATAAATTGTTGTGTGGAAATGTTGGAGAATAAATACAAGATAGAAAAGCAACAAAAGCTGGCCTTGGGGAGGCAAGCCAGAAGCTCAGGTTTCACGTGATTTCCTGGAGGATCAATAAACAGCTTAGTTTCCTTCAGGGTTTTTAGGGCTCCTCAGAGGAGGGGGCACCAGGCCCCTATGTCCTTTGCCTGGCAGCTTATCTAGACGTCCCTAGTGAGTTCTAGGGTTAAAAAGTTATGGTAGTCTGTCCTCATGACTGAGCCTACATACCAGAAAAGAGTTGTATCCTGAACGGTTAAGGTGAGGGTTTTGGCAAGGGGACGATACTAGACAATAGGAAGATTGTAACTCCCGGAAGAATTCAGTCAACGAGAACTAAAGGGGGAAGAGAAATACAATTAGAAGCATAAAAACCAGTTTTGTGTCAAATTCGGGGCACCAAACATCTTTACCTTTTCTCTGAGCTGACACCAACCCTTTTTTTTTTTTTTTTTGGTTTTTTGAGACAGGGTTT